GGCTCACATTTATCAGATGAGGGAGAGAGGAAGAATATTTTAAAACTCCTCTCTCTCTCTTTCTCTCTGAGTCTAGTAAATCCTTGAGTTCAGCAAAGCACCTAGGCAGGCTCATTCAATATCCACACTCAGGACTGAGCTTCCCTGAGTTCAGCAGTTCTTGGTCAGAAGATGATTAGGATGTTAAGGCTGGTCCTTTCTCACTTCCATCCCTGGGTGAAGATCTGCCTTTTAAACTTTTGTTTACCAGTGGGAATACTGATTTCTTTGTAAAGCTGCAGTCTGTCTTATATGAGGTGAAATTCCCATGCCCAAACCCCAATAATATATGAAGAAATATAGCTGTGCCAGTGAGGTGTCAGGACCCCTGGACAACCACAGCAAAAATTGCCAAGGAGATGTAGAGCCCTCCAGCCAGATGGAAAGGGATGGTCCTGCTAATTGGAGCCCAGCAGTCACTGATCTCCAAAGGCTCCTTCTCCATGCACACTAGAATGTCCCCATGGGAAACCTCCTTTTGCAACAGTAGGGAAAACAGTACTTTCAAGCCAGAACACAGACCAACTTCAACTTTCCTCAGCAGTGGGTTGGCAACAAGATTGAAGTTCCTCTATGAGAAGATATTCTAAGAAAATAATTACTGTGGCAACTAGGATGTGTAGATGAGCCCTTCATGCATGTATATGTAAACAGGGATGAGAAGAACAAAAGGTGGTAAGACCAATGAAGATCCTGGGAATACATTGATTGGGACACATTTCAAGCTGCGATGCTGGCGGCTTACTACCCAGGGCACCAATACACAGAACCATATGTTTCCTAATTCTGGAAGACTAGAATGTCTTGGGGAAGTTAGCAATATCACTAGTATGGATAGGGGACAGGATTTTCACTGGGAAAAACAAAGGAAAACAATTCTTTTGCTGGTTGGATTTTGCAGTTTTAATTTTGTGATTTGTTAGCAGAAGCTGATAAAACATTCAAACGTTCTTCTGTCCTAAAACACATCAGAAAACTCTGCCTCGTTATCAAGATTTGGAGGTGCAAGTTTTGTGTCTATCTCTAGCAAATGGTTTGGGCTGTATGTTGACAATGCTCCAAGCAGTGCTTAAAGATTGCCTCTAGCTATCACCTTAACTTTTTCCAATGTCCCAGAAGGACACTATGCCAGAAGAATTGTTCTTTCTCTTACTATTTCTAGTCTTCTGACACTGCATAGACTGCCAGGCAAGAAAAATAAATAAGCAGGAGGCATATGAAGAGTGGGAATCCACTAGTGATATTCTGAGCTAAGCAAAGATTTCATTCTTTGGGGCATCTGGGCCAGGTTTGCCCAATTCAAAGAATGCCGATAAAATCTCTTGAAGTTCTCCTCCTCCCAAAACAAATAGTGTAAAGAAACAAGTTGTGCCTTTTGTGGGCAGGTCAAGAGAAGATGCTGTAACAGGCCAGAAGATTGTGATCTTCCTTGCAGCATTTGCTCCATTTATTTGCAGGGTCTGCTTGTTTTACACTGCACTTGTTTAGTGAATCTTATCAATGTATGATGCAACAAGAAGTCTTGTTTTTTCAGCTGGCTTGTTGCAGACCCTGATGCTGATTAGGGCTGAGAGGGAGTGACTGGCCCAAGGCCACCCAGCTGGCTTCTGTGCCTAAGGGAAGACTGCAACCTAGGTCTCCCTGCTCCTGGTCCAGCACTACAACCATTGCTCCATACTAGCTCTCCACAGGTCTGAAGGTAACAGTTACAAATAACCCATTTTCATCCTATTTTAATCTTTAAGCCAGAGATGTGTCAGTAATAAAAACACTGGAATAATAATAATAAAAAATAGGGGGGACTTTTAGTGGATATAGTTAATCTACTTTGAACAACAGCATCTAACAATCAAGTGGAAATTACTGGACAGAAGGGGAAATTTCAGTCTCCACGATGCACCTCTCCACATGAAAAGCTGCATTTTTTACTTTTCTGTTCAATACACTGACAAGGCTATGGTATTTTGCCTCCTTTGCATTCCTTCCAGTTCCAACTTTTCATAATTCCATTTAGAGCCATTTTGCATGTGGGGTGCCACAAGACTTGGCCCATTCTCCTTGTTGTTCAACATCTGCTTGAAAACGTCTTCTATCAGTTTGGGGTGAGCTTTTGTTAAAATGAAATTTTACATCTCCAGCCTGTGCCAAGGAGGAGATGTTATATATGTTCTTACCAGGGTGAAATTGAATCCCAGCAAGACAGTGGCTGTTTGTCCAGAAACCTGTAGGCTGTCTAGCATCCCCTTCCTCCAAAAAACTCTGGAAGCATTGCCTTGCCCCTTATGCAGTAGGTATCTAACTTCAAGGTCCTCCTGCAAGGTTCTCCTGCTAGCTTCTGCTGGATCAGTAGGTGGATTCTGTGGTGATGGGAGAGCTTTATCCAGCTTGGCTGGTACAGCAATTGTGGTATCAGAACAGGGGGCCTTATCAACAATCAATTCTGCTCCTACTGATTCAAAGTTGGATACTTGAAACAGGTTCTACATGGGTCTGTCCTTGAAGACTATTTGGAAACTTCAAGTTGAAGGGGCCATATCAGCCAATTTTAAATTAAGAAATATTTTGCCCTTGTCTTTAACAGAAAATAAGTGAGAAAAAAAGGTAGCATTCCTTTTGAAAAATCAATACCATTTTCACCAAAAGGAGTATACTTTTTCGAGTGTTGTGATCTATCTAAATACAGTTAGCAAACAGGAGTTATTTATCAGGGCAGAAAAAGGCTCTACAGATTCTAACTGAACAAGCTTTTGTACAAAATCTCTTGACTGTCCTGATCACATCTGCAGAGTACTGAATCAGAATCATAATAGGGGGGGGGGGGGGTTGGGGACAGCCAAACAGTGCTCTTTGGAATCAAAGTTCTGGAGAAAAATAAAAAACAAACCAACTTGGGGTGTGCAACAACCACACTTCTTCATAGTTCTTGCAACAGCCTAACAAAACTGTACAGAGAGATTAGCAATGAAGGCATCTAATGTACTTGCTCTATTGATTTCTCACTACAGAAGAAAAAACAATATCATGGAAACTTGAAAAAAGGCTGTTGGAAACCCATGTTTGTTCTTGGAGCAGATTCTAAGTCAACTTTTCCAAATAGTCCATTTAATATTAGCCTATGCTCAAGTTATCAGTTGGATCACTATTTTTGGGCCAAGTTACACCAGGGTACTTTGGAACAGTGTGGAAGTTTTCACAACACAGAAATTGGAATAAACAAACTTGCTATCATCTTTCTTTGGCAGAACAGCTCTCCCATCTTCTCAAAGCGCAACTTAACAGCCTTTTAGCTCTGATCAGCAGCAACTGGCTTTTAATGAATCCTACAAGGCTTGTATGCAATATCCTGATCATTAAAATTTTTATTTATTCCTTTATGACATTTTTATCCTGCTTTTCATCTAGGAGACTTAGGGGCTGCTTTCCCTTAGAAGTAATCTTCTGGAGGCCAATGGTGGCAAGCAGTGATTGGAGCAGACCTAAAAGTAGATTTTTCAGATCACCACTTTTTGTTTTCACTCTGAAATACCTTTCTCTAATTCTCTTTCTGTTGTCCATTTCTTTCTCCTTAGCAGCTGGCTCTCAGGAAAAGAAAAAATGGGTCTTAGCAGAGGTCTGAACTGATTGCTTGCAAAGGGCTTTTGAAATTAAGCTGAGGGTTGCATGAAATCAGGCTAAGGGCCAGAGGCTGCACACTTCTGGCTTAGGTCACCTTCCACCTGGACTAGTTTACTTGCACAATAACATTTCATCAGTTTTGGATGGAGTACCAGCTGTGACCTTCCAAGGTAGTCCTGCCCTCTCTGTCATTAACCATGCTCCATTAACATCCTGTTTGGACTACAGTAATGTCTTAGAAGAGGAGTTGTGAATGGCTACGAGCCATCTCAAGGAGCAGAAGCAGTGTAGCAGTTGCCTGGGGAACAACAGGGGAGTTGGGGGTTTGCCCTCATGTTACTTTGATGGGCTTCCTAGAAACATCTGGTTGGCCACCGTAGGGAAACAGGGTGGAATAAATCTTTGGTCTGATCCTGCAGGACACTATTATCCTCTTCAGAGAGTCTAGATAGATTGAAGGTTAGGAGCAAGATAAATAGCTCTGCCTTGGTCTCTATATATTCAGAAGGAAAAGAATATGGGATTTGGGAGAAGTGACATTCAACTTCTTCCCTATATGTTTTGCATGCACATATGTGGATTCTGTGAAAAGTGATGAGTAGAGATTGGGAAAAGAACTGGGAGGTGAGACAGTAAAAAGGTAGAAGATTGGAGGAGGAGGAGACTCATACACTCCTCTACCAGCAGATCTGGATTACATCAAATTGGGAAAAGCTGTCCCAGTGATGAGAGAGAGAGCAGGAAACTAAATTCCACATATCCAAGAGAAACTGTGTTTTCTGTAAAACAGTCATCAGAGGGAGTGCTTTTGTATGTTTTTTTTTAAAGCATCATGCTTTTTAAAAACTAATCAGTTAAATTGTTAAAAGCCACAGGAACAGATTTCTTCCTGGAGTCATAATACTCTTAGAGTATCTTCAAATTGCTTCTTTCAGTAGACATAGCAGCTTCCCATTTGAGAATGTCTCATTCTAACAGACATTATCTTTTCCTTAAGCCAACACCCATGTCTCATGTGAACACTGCCTGACCACCCTCCACCCCCTTGTGTGTATTATATTATGAGTGTGTTCTGATGTATATTGATGTGCATGTGGAGGCAGATGGTCCAAATCATATCCTTTCCCAAAATTAGGCTTCCAGAGAGACCTTTTTATCATTCAGATACATCAGCTATAGGTACGTATAAACACACAGAGTTTCTAATAATCCATCCCATGAAATATCAATATGTGTGTTCCCCATCAGTTTCAGGCACAAGCTAGCCCATTTTTTGTTCACTGATTGGGATGGAAATCATCCACTCTCTTGCTTTTTATGTGAACTGATTGAAATGCAATGCTTACTATGGAGTGGGCTCCAGGAACTGCCTGCCTTTCTAAACTCTCCCCACTGCCAGCTGCACAAAAGCTGCTGCTTCCAGCCAGAGTAGAGTCACCTGAAAAGAGACAGATAAAACCATCAGCTGGAGAAAAAAGGATGCTTCTTCATAGCAATTTCCACCCCCCACAAAAAACCAAACCAAAACAAAAACAGTCTACAAAACCAACAGAAGCTAAACCAACTCTGGTTATTTCTATCCAAAATGCTGCTGGACGTAAGAAGCCAAATAGGTTGCTTATTTGGGTTTTTTAAAATTTGAATTAAAAAAAAAAAACTGAGCTAGACTGAAGGCGTGCAACATCCTTGCAAAAATACCCCACACCCAGAGTGACCCTATTTAGCTCTCCCTGTCAAAATGATTACCCTTTGTTGTCGTTGTCTTTTGGGAAAGGCAATTTTTTTAGTGCCAGTTTCTAGAAGGAGAGGCCATATTCCACTCCAGCTATGTCAAGCAAACCCCTATCTGGTTTTTCTATCCACCCAAAGGAACTTTCACTTCTTTTTCCTTTGGGGGCTTGCATACACTGGATGTTGTGTCTAGAATTTACATCATTGGTTCGGCCTGTTACCACACTGGTGCCAAACAGTTGCACGTCATTCCATCTGTTTCTTTGCTGTTGTACCAGTGGTGCAGCTCAAGCTGTGGTAGGACCAAACATACTTCTTGTGGGCTCACTTCCCAGTTTCTTACCCCCAGCAATTTCTCCCTCCTGACACTTCCTCCCTTCCAGTATCCTGCCTCTCTCTCTCTCTGTTCCTTCTCTTCTGACTCTGGACAGCAGCGACACTGGCCTTCTAAAATCACTTGGGTGTGTCATAGAGCAGAATTACAACTGCATCTAGTAGACTTTATTTATCAAAGGGCTCTGAAGGAAGGAAAGGAGGAAGGAGGAGGATAATCGCAGTTTTGTTGCATTTGAAAGAAAAAAGATTTCTGGGTTGGAGGCCGTCTTAGCTATAAGGCCTAGACCTTCATTCAGTGATACATGTCCAGGTGGTCCCCGCCCCGCCCCCAAAGACCATGCTTGTAGTGATTTTTGTGGCCAAATGCACGAGCAGAGGAACTGGATAGACAATTTTTTCCAGGGCAGAACTCTACTTAACCAATGAGAATGGTGCCATTATAGAAAAAGCCATCAGAAGCTAGCAAAGAACGCTGCTGCTGCTGGTGTTTCTGTAGATCATGCACATTTTTCCATTAGTCAGAAGATTCCCCGATTTCCCAGTCTGGAAAGGACCACTGGGAGAAGTTCCCTCCTCCCTTGGAACTTGATGAAAGAGTGGGAAACCAGGGAGGCAATGAACGTGTACACTGAAAGAATGAACATTCATGCACAGAAATAGGGACATGCTCTTCAGCCATTCTGTAACTAAGTAAGGGCAAGAACACCTCACTCCTTCCATCAAAAGGGCTCTGAAATTTTCTTTCTCATTTGCAAGAACTCTGAACGCTAATTCAACCAACTAAATGACAATAGGAAAAAAAAAAAATAGATTGCTGGAGACTTTCTCTCCCTTGCACTTCCTAAAACAGGACTTTACCTCTGGAAGCTAAAGCATTATGGCTATGTACTTGTCAGGAGTGTTATTTGAGGTCATTTGGTACCTTCCGTATTACTTGCTCTATTTCACCAAGCTCACCTGTGGAATTCCTAATGTTCTAGCACTCAGGTGTCCAGAAGAACAGCTAGAAGGCCAAATGCTTTTTAAAGTCTCTTCTGTGCAAACCAATCAAAGTTATTAAAGGCCTTCAGTCCATTAATCATCTAGCTTTCCAACAGTTATATTTACATACATTTGCATATTGTAAAACATCAACCAAAAGGTCTTGAGATCCTTGAGTGAGGTGACAGGTTCTCTTTGTGATTCATAATGGTACGCAGAAAATGTTGTTATTTTCACTGTATTACAGATGAATGTAATACCTGGACTCCATTCGGTTTAAGAAAGGTTTAACTGCGCCTGGGCAATTAAAGCAATATTTCTAAGGTTCTAGTGTCCTGATAGGTGGGTGTTTACTTTAAACATTTCAACTCTCACCGTTTAGTAGTCTAAATATGTGCACGCTTCACAATGTCAGTGAAGGGTAAATCATTTTCTAATACAATACCGAAACAGTTCTAAACTACTTGGCTCAAATAAAAGTATTATAGAAACCACAAAAAAGGAAACCATTACAGAAAACAGTGTACAATTAATTGCTGTTTTTGTATCCAGATTGCTATCAAGCTTTAATTAATTTCCAGGGTCTACAGCAGTGTTTCTCAACCTTCGCAGCTTTCAGATGGGTGGACTTCAACTCCCAGAATTCCCCAGATAGCAAGGCTGGCTGGGGAATTCTGGAAGTTGAAGTCCACCCATCTGAAAGTTGCCACGGTTGAGAAACCCTGGTCTGCAGCCTGTCTCAGAGCTCAGATTTGTGCATCCATGAGAGAGCAAGTTAGTTAAGATGCTGGGCTAGAAACCAGGAGTCCAGAATCTAATTAAAAAAAAATCCTTAGCTGAGAATTGCCACCATATTAACAATTCAGACTTTTTATAATATGGCCCATGTGTCATACTCCACAAGGATAGTTATTTGAAAAGCTCATTCTCTTTAACTGAAGGCATTCTCAATCTGAAAGATTGTGCAGCCCAAGTCTAAAGATCCAGAACTTTATGAATAGAGCAAGCAAGGATTTTGAAGTTCCTATCAAAAATTAGCATCTGGACAGCAGACTGAGAAGTCCCCCTTGGGATTCTGGTGCTGCATTTAAGCTTTTCTGCCAATGTAGAAGCAACATTATTTCTGTTTAATATAAGATCCTGTTAATGTAACCTTACAATAAAGTTAGAGCTAGTACTTCTGGGTGTGCTTCTTATCTGGACTACCTCGCAAGGCTAATATCAATCTTGCAAGTCCAAAGTATACCTCTCCCCTCTCACCTTTACAGTCCAAGAAACTAGGGAGGGTCCCTTCTGAGATGTTTGCCATGCCTACATTCCTTCTGCAGACTCAGCTGCCAATTGTCTGACCATTGTTTAGTCTGCAGCTCTTCCTCCTGTCTCCCAAGGTCACTCCCATATACCATTACACATACTTCCAGACAGAGTTGGTACACAATTTGGGGATCCTCTTGGACTCATGGCTCCTACTTGATGAGCAGATCAGCCATGAGCAGGAAGGCCTTTGCATTAATCCATCTTGGGTGCCAGTTTTGCCTATTCCTGGATTAGGAGGGTGTGTCACAGTTGTTCACTCATTAGTCACTCTCAGTTGGATTATTGCAATGTACTCTACATGAGAGCATTCAGGAGCTGCAACTGGCCCAGAATGCAGTTTTGGGCACTCAGCCATATCCCCATATAATTCCACTGCATTGCAAGTTGTACTGATGAGATTATTTGAAGGACCACCTGTCTCCAACTGCTTCTTCTCATCCCCACAAATGCAGCAGAGTAGGCATACTCCCTTCTGTAAAGCAATATCATCAGCAGGGTTCAGAGGATGTGCCTTCTCTGTTGCAATGCTTGCCCTATGGAACAGTATCCTGCCCCCAAGATTTGGATGCCCCCAACTCTGTTAGCCTTCTGGAGGGTCTTGAAATCCTGGTTCAAGGATCTTGAAGTCCTCCGGCATTGGGACCAGGATATTAGTTGAGGCCAGTGCGGTTAGGTTCCCCCCCCCCCGATTTTATATTAGGAACCTTGGTTGCATTGTACTGTTTATGAATGCTTAATTTGGTTATAGACATTTAAGCTACTCTTTTTACTTCTGTATTACGTTGTTGGCATGTTTCTATATACCACTAGCTGCCCAGATTCCAGATGTTGAGAGGGGCAGTCATATAAATGGTTTAACTAAGTAAACAAACAAACAAAGATAAATACATAGTTTGCTGAAATATATATCGTAATTCTGTATAACGTGCAGTGGCAATATGTTGCCTAGACATAGTGATTCTCTGGATGGTGATCGTATGACTTGAAAGTTTTTTTAAAAAATCAAAATGGTCCAAATCACATGAGGTTTGGTATGACAACACTAAAAACTTGAAGGACCCTAAGAACGACATGGCCAAAATCTCATGAAATTTGATGACCTTGTAAGGTTCAGCCACCTGTGCCACAGTGCCATGCTGTGCATTAGTGCCCGCTACCTGGAACAGCTGCTGGCTACAGATCTGTGGGCCTCTCAGGAACGTCACCTTTCCTTGTCCTCCAGCATTTGGATAGATGGATGTGAAAAGTGTTTCCTGCTGAAAGTTCCTGCTAACCTGCGTTAAGAAATGTGCTGCACTGTATGTCAGGGTCCCCTAAATTTATAGTGCAGCCCCATGCAGTTTGAATAACAAGGGACTAAGCAGATACCTTCTTGAAGGAGAGAGAGAGAGAGAGAGAGAGAGGGGGAGCATTTAGGTGACCCCGTCACCCTGGACATTCTTGAGCTGGGGGAATAAAGCAGATACTCTTTCCTTGAGTAATGTCTCACCTTGCCTTCATTTTCCCAACAACTGCTTAAAGAAAGCTTTTCGGGCTGAAATATCACGTTTCATCGCATCTTGTCTGCCAGCTTGCAACACTTGGAAGGGTATGAGTGATACGAAGGCAAAGCGGAAAGGAAACCATCCGGCTACCAGGGTTTACAGTCCTCTTCCAACCCTGGTCTCTTCTCTTAGGTTGCTCTGCACCAGGTGGCAAGGCTGTGAGCCTCCAACACTTGGCAGAGAGAATGGGAAACGGAGGACCCCAAGGGAGCCCATTGGTCAAACTATGATCCTATTGCTACTCGAAGTAATCCCCATAAACTTAATGGAACTTCTTTCTGAAGATTGTGCTATTAAAGTGGTTTTATGTAGCAAAAACTCAAAATGAGAAAGTATCCTGGAGCCATGGTATTTTTTTTGTTTATTCCAAAACAAAAACCGGCAACAAACTCTGCTCCCCCCACCCACTTTACCAGCACAAGTTCAGTCCATTCAGTTCAGCGGTGCTTCCGCCAATGAAGTATTGGATCATAGCTTAAAAAACATGGAGACGCAAGATTTGTGCATATATGTAAAAATGTGCATATTA